GTTGAGGGGTTTGGGGTTTTAATTTTTTGGTTTTGTGGGGGTTCATGGTATTGTGTGGTTTATTTTATGTTTGCCTTTACCTTTTTGCATTTGGGTGTGTATTCTGGCTGCCCTTTATGTTTCATTTTAAGCAACTGGCTGTGGAGTCAAAAACACTTGCATACTGAAAACCTGCGTCAGGGCTTCTGTCTCCTGTCTTTACTCCTCTCCCCATATTGGTTTTTCTGTGGTTAAAGCAGATGGGTGTCCTGATGAAGTCAATGGGAAACCCCTGATCCTGCCTTGCAGTTTGGGTACAAGTGAGGACAAGGTGGAGGGGCTAGAGAACATTTGGGTCACTGGGGCAAGATCTGGAAAGAAAAGGCAAGGCAGGGGCACATCCTGGGCTGCAGGAGCTGTGGGGAGAATGGAATATCTGCATCAGTTTAGGTGTGTGTGGGTGTGGGTGTGGGTGTGGGCACGCGCGTGTGCGTGCACCTTGTTTGCTATAGGAGTAGCAGAGCTGGAAGGAGAGCCCTCTCTTAGGCGGCTCAAGGAAATCACCTGCCTGCTGGCTCTCTTGCCCTGGGCCACCCACATCCACATCTGACTGCACAGTCTTATCACTGCCCTCACTGTTGTGCCCCTGGCCTCCCACCCCTGGGCCGCCCACATGGTGCGGGCAGTCCACACTTCCGGTTTCCTAAGACCCAGCTACTATGGAGGCAAGATGCCCGTCCTGTATTTTACACCTTTTCTTCCCACTTCTGAAAAACAGTGGTAGAAGCTCCTAGTTCCTTTTGCCTGCTGGCTTCAGAATGTACCTGTTACTGTTTGAGGGGAAGTGGATGTTTGACAGGCCTGGGAGGTCTCCCTGTGTAAGTCTCTGGAGAACCCTGTCAGTGTACAAGTGAGGGTATCTGTGGGTCTGGCCAACTGGAGTCTAGCCACCCCCAGGAGCGAACTATGAGCTGCTCTTTGCTCCAGCCCCAGGAGCGTGCTTCAACTCGGGTCTTTCTGCCCAGGTGGAGGAACATCCATCCCTTGGAGCCACAGCATTAATCTTCCTCATTGGCCTTTGCTTACCCACTTTCTGATCTCGAGGCCTGTAGACTACTTGCTTTCTCAGGTTCCTAAACAACCCCATAGCAGTACTGAATTTAGGTCAATCCTCTGTTTGGAAGTTGGAGTGAAGAAATCAGACAAGTCAATAGGTCACAAAAGCTATGTGGTGAGTGCAAGGATTCAGCTCAAAGGGCAAGGGCACTGGGGTGGTTGGAAGGACTTACTGGGAGAGACGGTGCCCAATTGACACTTAAGTAGAAAAATAGGAGTTAGGGGTGTCAGGGAAGCATCTCTGAACTGAGGGGACAATCCGAGCAAAGGCTTGGAGACAAATGAGAGTAGTATGTGCAGGAAACTATAAGCCATTTCAGTGTCACTGCAGCTGGAAGGGACAGATGGGGAAGGAGGGGGCAGGAGCCCTGCCAGGCATGCCAACGGGCACGGCTTGGACTTTCGCCCTAGATGATGGGAACCACGGGAAAACTTTAAACTGGGTAGTGATAGAGGGTTTTGTTTTTTTTTTTTTCGTATTAATGGTAAAAATGTGTTGGAGGTGGGCCACAGAGAAAGAAAGGTAATCGCTTGAGATTCAGGTGAAAGCAGGAAGGGAGAGTGGTGAGGGTACTATAAGAATTTCTATTGAAGGCAGGAGGGAGATGCCATGGGTAGAGTCAGAATGACTCCAAAGAGAGGGTGCCTGGGTGGCTCTGATGGCGTCTGACTTCAGCTCAGGTCATGATCTCATGGTTGGTGAGTTGGAGCCTCACATGGGGGCTCTGCACTCACAGTGCAGAACCTGCTTGGGATTCTGTCTCTCTCCCTCTTTCTCTGTCCCTGCCACACACTCTCTCTCTCTCAAAATAAATGAGTAAACTTTATTAAAAAAAAAAAAAAAAAGAATGACCCCCAAATAAATAGGTGAGGGTCCTTTGGGGAGCCATGGACATCCCTGCGCTTC